TACCGGTTCCGTTTGTAAATAGTATGCTGATTCTGCACCTGGCTAGTCTCTTGCTCTAACTCTGTGTATAATTGTTTAGCAATAATCATTTCCATTTGGAAAAACATGAGATTTACTCCATTAAAAAGAAATACGACCCCCTGGCGGCGCAGCAGGTTAAACCGCTGAGCTGCTGAACTTGCTGACCGAAAGGTCGCAGGTTTAATTCTGGGGAGCAGGGTGAGCTCCCAGTGTTAGGCCCAGCTTCTGCCAACCTAGCAGTCCGAAAACATGCAAATGTGAATAGATCAATAGGTACCGCTTCGGTGGGAAGGTAACTGCACTCTCTTGCTCCATCTACACTGCTATATAAAATACAGATTATCTGCTTTCAACTGGATTATCGGACAGACAGCAAGCTATTTAACCTCAGCAGACTGAAAACCAAAACCAAGGTCGCAACAACATGTTATAGAACTCCAATATGCCAATGATAACATAGTCAGTGCACATTCAGAAGAAGACCTACAAGCCACTCTCAACACCTTTGCAGAAGCATACGAGAAGCTCAGCCTGTCATTGAACAGCAAGAAAAGCAAAGTGTTCTTCCAGCAAAAGGCACCAGGCAATCCCTCTGCAAGGCCAGAAACTGAAACACAACACCGCCTGTGCTCTGCGAGTGCAGCATTCTTCTGAATGAAGCAGAGAGTGTTCACAACAACATCATTTATAGAACTCCAATATGCTGATGATAATGTATTCGGTGCACATTCAGTAGAAGACCTACAAGCCACTCTCAACACGTTTGCAGAAGCACACGAGAAGGACAGACTCTCATTGAACAGCGAGAAAAACAAAGTGCTCTTCCAGAAAAAAGAACCAGCCAATCCCTCTGCAAGGCCAGAAACTGAAACACAACACTGCCTGAGCTCTGCGAGTGCAGCATTCTTCCGAATGAAGCAGAGAGTGTTTGAGGACCGGGACATCCGTAGGGAGACCAAGGTGCTTGTTTATAAAGCTATTGTCCTCCCATCCCTGTCTACCCCTGCGAAATGTGGACTGTCTACAGATGTCACACTCAACTCTTAAAACAATTCCATCAAAGCCATGCGCTGCTTCTCCTCCATGCCATGGTCATCGACAGATAAGGACGAGAGGCATTCAGGGAAAACGAAACCAATTTCTCAGTGCTTGGAATGGCTTAATGTGAGGATATAAAGTTCCAACAATGGGAAATGTAGTCAGATGAAGCATCGTTTCAGAATCCTGCTAAGTTCTTGCTCTTGTCTCGTAGTAGCCTTGCTTGGAAGATTAATGTTTAAGGATTTCTTGCTGTATGGTTTGACCGTTTCTCTCTTAACAGATTAGAGAGATGGGTCAAAACTAACAAAAGGAAGTTCAACGGGGACAAATGCAAGATACTCCACTTAGGCAGAAAAAACGAAATGCAAAGATACAGAATGGGGGACGCCTGGCTCGAGAGCAGTACGTGTGAAAAAGATCTTGGGAGTCCTCGTGGACAACAAGTTAAACATGAGCCAACAATGTGATGTGGCGGCAAAAAAAGCCAATGGGATTTTGGCCTGCATCAATAGGAGCATAGTGTCTAGATCTAAGGAAGTATTCTATTCTGGGCACCACAATTCAAGAGATATTGACAAGCTGGAATGTGTCCAGAGGAGGGCGACTAAAATGATCAAGGGTCTGGAGAACAAGCCCTATGAGGAGCGGCTTAAGGAGCTGGGCATGTTTAGCCTGAAGAAGAGAAGGCTGAGAGGAGATATGGTAGCCATGTATAAATATGTGAGAGGAAGCCACAGGGAGGAGGGAGCAAGCTTGTTTTCTGCTTCCCTGGAGACTAGGACACGGAACAATGGCTTCAAACTACAAGAGAGGAGATTCCATCTGAACATGAGGAAGAACTTCCTGACTGTGAGAGCCGTTCAGCAGTAGAACTCTCTGCCCCGGAGTGTGGTGGAGGCTCCTTCTTTGGAAGCTTTTAAACAGAGGCTGGATGGCCATCTGTCAGGGGTGCTTTGAATGCAATATTCCTGCTTCTTGGCAGAATGGGGTTGGACTGGATGGCCCATGAGGTCTCTTCCAACTCTTTGATTCTATGATTGTGATTACATACTCATGCCTTGGATCAATGTTTCCCTGTTTCTTTGGATTTTATTAGAGAAGTCTGGACTTTGTTTTTGAACTTTGCTGAACCATACCTTGGACTAATTTGTTCCTGCTTATCTTCTTACCTAATTGGATTTACCTATTCCCTTAAAGTGCTTTTTTTACTTTGCTGCTTTTACTTATCTTCAATAAAAAGGATAGTTTTCCTACTCAACGTGTGGCGTTTTGAAGTCAGAGGGCTATTCCTGTTCTACGTATCCACTACACTTGGAGGACCATCATACTCAGACAACGTAATCTGTGGCCATCAAGTCGGCCTGGGAACGAAGAGGGCAGCCGCCCGATCGCTTCTGGAAAGTGTGCCATGGCAGGGCAAATAAGGATAGTAATAATA